ACCTGGAGCAGAACAAGATACTTAGCGACCGCCAGTATGGTTACCGACCCCATCGATCTACCGGTGATCTTTTGGCGCTCATTTCGCATACGTCGTCAGCGGCATTCGCCAACCACTTCGGAACTTGTGTCCTGGACAGTAAGCTATCTCCAGGACCGCAGCATCTCCTATTCGAGTAGATGGGATTATGTCTCGTTCCGTGTCTGTGAATGTTGGCGTTCCTCACGGTTTTGTACTTTCCCCTTCCCTTTTTCTGATGTTTATTGACGATCTTCTTCAACTTCAAATCCTATTCACGCTCCCATCGATAACGCTATCCATCATCACCATCAGCATCATTGTACAGCATAATACAGTGAAGCGAACTTCACTGATCGCCGCCAAACTCATATTGCATGCAAGGTAAGTGGGAATGTTTGATAACGCTACCCTACACCCTTCACTATCCTATTCCTCTTCACGCATCGCTAACTCCAGCATTAGTGACGATCGCTCCTCCCTTAGTTTCTCCCTAAATTCTGACCTGGACCTTATTTCCGCTTGGGGCTGTCACAACCGTGTTCTCTGCAATGCCAGTAAAACTTCCCTTATATCCATTTATCTTGAGGAAGCATCTTTCTCCCCTTCGTTGAATCTTAACTCGAACATTCTCCCTTTCGCAGAATCACGCAACTTATTGGGTCTTTCCTTATCTTCTTCCCTTTCATGATCACCTTATACTTATCTACTTGTTTGTCGCGCTGCGAGCAAAATCAGTTTCCTCTTTCGTGAGAGATGTTTTTCACCCCCATTCAACTCCTCTCGCTTTACAAAGCTCAGATTTGTCCACCACTTTTTCTATTCTGGATCGGGTTCAACGTAAGGCAATCCATCTCATCAACGACCCATCTCTCACATGCAGTCACTGTCGGGCAATCGCTTCTTCGTCTTTGTTCGATCGATACCACTTTGGATTTTGCTCTAATAAACTTTGCGCTTCTGTCACTCTCCCGCTTGTTCTTCCTCGTAGATCTCACGCACAAGCGGCTAGCCATCCATTTCAAGTGACTATACCCAGGTGTCGCATTTCTAACTTTCAA